CCCCCCACTGCAAGCAACAGGTGGAGCTTCTAGGGTACCAGCCATTCCCGGTATGAGCCACACAGGCCTGGCCCTACATTCTGTCAGTCAATGCACCCAGGCTGCTTTCCCAGAATTCCAGGCTGGACCCCAACAAGGCCAACCCTGGCTGGTGGCTGCTTCTGAGACTCTCTGCCATGGAACCAGCCTGAATGGCATTTTCTCAGCCTCTCAGTCCTTGGCACTGGCCTCTTCCAAGAAGAATCTATGACCTAATTCGAAAATATACAATGGATAAAAACACGACATTTGCAGAACCACAAAAGGCGAATCAGCATGTTAAATATATTCAGCCTCCCCAGTCATTTCAGGGAAATGAAAACGAAAACAGGAATATTTTCTTTTCAAAAACATTTTAGGGGGTTGGAGAAATGACTCGGCTGTTAGGAGTGCATACTGCTCTTGCAGAGGACCTGAGTTTGGTTCCCAGCACCCACTGCAGGCAGCTTACTACCACTTGTAGCTCTAGCTCCAGGGGACCCCACACCTCCTTCTGGGCTCCATGGGCACCTGCACACAGATGTGCACATACTCACAGACACACACACGCATAATTAAGAATGTATCTTTTTTAAAGATTTATTTATTTATTATGTATACAGTGTTCTGTCTGCATATATTTCTACACACCGGAAGAGGGCACCGGATCCCATTATAGATGGCTGTGAGTCACCATGTGGTTTCTGGGAAGTGAACTCAGGTCCTCTGGAAGAGCTGCCGGTGCTCTTAGCCTCTGAGCCATCTCTCCAGCACAGGAACATATCTTTAAAAAGTAAATAATTAAAAAGAACATCAACAAAACATTTTAATGCCAGTAACTCGTGAGGCTGAGGCAGGAGGATCAAAAGTTCAAGGCCTGGGAAACTTAGTAAAACACTGTCTCGAACTAAATAAAAAGAGGACTATGGGTGTAGTTCAGTGACAAGAGTGATTGCCCAGAAAGTGTGAGGTCCTGGGTTTGACTCCCAGGACTGTAAAAACAAAAAACAAAAAATACTTTAAGATCTACATCATCCTTGTTGGGTTTTTGGGCAACTTGATACAGTTAAGTCATCTGGGAAGAGGGACGCTCTGTTATGGAATTTTTTTTTTGTACACTGTGAAGATGTGTTGCTCTCATTGTTTTAATAAAAAGCTAAATGGTCAATAGCTAGGCAGGAAGAAATTAGGTGGGACTTGTGGATAGGGAGAGAGCTCACTGGGATGAAGAAAGGTGGAGTTGCCAGCCAGATGAGGGGAAGCAGGACATGTACAAGATAAGGTAACAAGCCATGAGCCATGTGGCAGCAAGTAAATTAATAGAAATGGGTTAATTTAAGTTATAAGAGCTAGTTAGAAACAAGCCTAAGCTATTGGCCAAGCATTTATAATTAATAATAAGTCTCTGTGTGGATATTTGGGAATTGGCTGGCTCAACTGAGAAAATGCCTCCACAAGATTGGCTTACGGGAGCTGGGCATGGTGGAGCACTCCTTTAATCCCAGCACTCAGGAGGGAGAAGCAGGTGGATCTCTGTGAGTTCAAGGCCAGTCTGGTATACATAGTTCCAGGACAGTCAGAGCTATGTAGAGAGATCTTGCCTAAAAAAAAAAAAAAAAAAAAAACCCAAAACAAAACAAACAAGAAACCCAAAAAACCAAAAACCCAAAACAAAGCAAAATGATTGACTTACGAGCAAGTCTATGGGGCTTTTTCTTAATTAATGATTGATATGGTAGACATAGCCCACTGTGGGAGATGCTACCCCCAGGCAGGTGGTCCTGGAAGGTGTAAGAGAACTAACAGAACGTGAGCTTGTGGAGCATTCCTCCATGGCTTCATCCTTCAGTTCCTGCATCCAAGTTTCAGCTCGGCTTGAATTCCCTCAATGCCCTGGCTTCCCTCAATGATAAACTGTAATGGGGACATGTAAGCCAAATAAACCTTCTCCTCTTTGTAGTGCCCCCATAGGCTTATAGGGAGTGGCACTGTTTGGAGGTATGGCCAGGCTGGAGTAGATGTGGCCTTGTTGGAGGAAATGTGTTACTGAGGGTGGGCTTTGAGGTCTCAGAATCTCAAGCTAGACCTAGTGGCTCTGTTATCTCCTGCTTCCTGAGGATCCAGATGTAGAATTCTCTTCAGCACCACGTCTACCTGCATGTCATTGTGCTTCCTGCCATGACGATAATAGACTGAACCTCTGAATTGTTAGCCAGCCGATGAAATGTTTTCCTGTATAAGAGTTGCTGTGGTCCTGGTATCTCTTCACAGCAATAAAACCCTAACTAAGACACACTCCCCTAATTGCTTTTGGTCAGAGTGGTAGTCTGAATAAGAATGGTCCCACAAGCTCATATGTTTGAATGCTTAGTTATCATGGAGTAGTACTACTTGACACGGATTAGGAGGTGTGGCTTTGTTAGAGTAAGTGTGGCCTTGTTGGAGGAAGTGTGCCACTAGGGGTGGGCTTTGAGGTTTCAAAAGCCCAAGTCAAGCCCAATCTCTCTCTCTCTCTCTCTCTCTCTCTCTCTCTCTCTCTCTCTCTCCCTCCCTCCCTCCCCCTCTCCCCCTCTCCCCCTCTCCCTCTCCCTCTTCCTCTCCTTGCTGTCTGTGGACTCAGATGTAAAACTCTCAGCAACTTCTCCAGCTCCATGTCTACCTGCATGTGGCCATGCTACCGGCCGTGACGATAATGGACTAGAACCTTTGAAACTTTAAGCCAGCCCCAATTAAATGCAGAACAGGCGTTTCAGGACAGTCTGAACTGCATAGTGAACCCCGCTCTCAAACACAAATCAACAGCCAAACACCAGGCACACACGTGTAATTCCCCCACTCAGAAGATGTAGGTAGGAGGAGAGTTCAAGGTCATTGTATTAGTTACTTTTCCGTCGCTGTGATGAAATATCACTTTTACCATAAGCAAAAGGAACTTATGGAGGAAAGCGTTTGTTTGGGCTCCAGTTCCAGAGGGGCGAGAGGAGTCCATCACGGCAGGAAGGCAGCCAGCAGAAGCATGGCGGCAGGAGCAGGAAGCGGAGAGAGCACATCCCCAACCGCATGCAGAAAGCAGAGAGCCAACTGGAGGGGCAGTGAGGCTGTGACCTCTCCAAGCCCACCCTGCAAGCCTGCACCTCCATACTCTCTGCCCCCAACTAGCACATCTGTTGGGGACCAAGTGTTCAAAGGTCCAACCCTATGGGGGACATTTCTCACTGAAACCAACACAGTCATGGTCAACCAGTGTGAGGCCAGCCTGAGTGACGCAAGACCCTGTCTCACCCAGGCTGCTCTCTCTGGGCACTCTGAGTTAGTGGGAGGATGGGAAGTCAGGATGGCTGGTTTGCCTTGGTTTTCCTAGGATTTCCCCCTGTTTATACTCACAGTCCTGCATCCCTGGAAACCCCCTCAGCCCTGGAAAACTCCTATGGTGTGATAGGGACAGTCCTAGTTTAGAAATGATGATTCCTAAATCTGTGCATCCACTTTCAATTCTGGGCAAAAGAAGATGGTGGCCACCCTGGACAGAAGGGATACAATAGGGGGCAGTAATGGGGGATCCAGAGGAGGGCAGGTAGGCAGGAAGGCAGGAAGGCACCGGGCAAATCCAGTCTCAGGGTGTCATCATGAGGAAGAATTTATCCCAGATTGTTCTGGAAGGGGCCTGGCTAACATCTGTCTGGAGCTGGGGCTCACACTCAGGTGGAGTCAGGATGGTGTGAGACCCAAGCCCGACACTACCTTCAACAATGACTGAAAAAGACTTTCTGATGAAGACGTCCTAAAGATTGTGCACGTATACTTGGGGATCAGGCTGGGAAACTGAGGAAAAGACTGGGTGTCTGGTCTGGAGAAACCTCTCTCGAACTTCTCCAAACAGCTCCTCCTTCCAGAGAAGTGTGGCCCAGAGGTGTCTGTTGTTGTACAGCAAAAGCTAACTGATACATTCCGAGATTCCAAGTCATCATCATCACCATCATCATCCTCAAATACCTGTACCTATTCCTGCCTTTCCTCTGTCACCCAGGGAGCAGCATGTAATGGCACAAGGTAAAGCCATGGAACACGTGGCAACATATAGATGAACAAAAATGGGCTGAGTTTAAATGTAAGAGCTAGTCAGTGGTTAACCTGAGCTAATGGCTGAGCAGTTTTAATTAATATCAGCTTCTGAGTGATTATTTTATAAGTGGCTGTGGGGTCCGTGGGGCCGGGCAGGACCAGAGAAAACTTCAGCTACATTCCTCTTCACCCCTTGTAAATGACCTGTATCTACCTGGTTGTTCATTGCAAAAGAGTCCAAACCAAACCTTGAGATCCTCCCAAATATCTTATTGGTGAAATTATTAAGGCCACTCCACATAGTTAAAAGGGAGGTTTATTTAGTGGCGTAACTTACAAATGAAGGGATAGGTAGGTTGCAGGGTCTGGGAAGACGTAGCGCAGTCCCGCGGTGTTCTCTGGAGAACTCTGCTCGGTCTACCTCCAGCGTCCAGGGTTCAGGAACCAAGAGAATCGGCGCATCCGGATCTCGGGTCTTCAGGGTCCTCTCTTGGCCCCGCCTTGTAGGCGTGACAGTTACCAAAGCCTCAATGGGGGTTGGAACTTCCCTATCAAAGCTGGAATGGCTACCCACTACAATATCTCTTTCCTCACAAGCCACACTCTCCCATTAGCAAGCCCTGCCTCTGCACCAGACAAGTCCAATGTTTTGACGTCACAACAGGACACTGTCATCTACAAAATTCAAGCCTGAGAACCATGTAATCAAGTTACCCAAAAAAAAAAAAAAAAAAAAAAAAAAAAAAGCAAAAGTTTCCTACAATGTTCTGAGTAAGTTTATGACTTTGTATTGGGCTGAATTCACAACTACCCTGGGGTGTGCGGAGCCCTCAAGCTAGAAAATAGCCCAAACCAACCATTTGCCCCCATCTCCACGGCCTCCTCCTCAGCTCCCCCCCTGCCCCGCCCCCACTCTCGGCCCTTCACAGCGGTCTTCTAAACTACAGGTTAGAGTACTCGTCCCTTCCCCACATGAACCTTACTAGAGGCCTGCACCATGATGGGGAAAAAAACGGAACCTCTTTGGTTTGGTTCGCCTTCCACCGCTAGGCAGAAGTTGCTGTCATTTGCAAAGTTAAACAAGATACAAGAATTCCTTCCTAGGCACTGGCCCCGCCCCCTTGGGCTCTCCAGGAAGCTTGCGTGTCGGCCCTTGTACCTGCTGCGCCTTCCTCTGGGCGGCTCGTTATATCATTAGCATACACCTGCATCTGAAGTTAACCTTTTCTGTGCTTTTGCACTCGTGTGTGTGTGTGTGTGTGTGTGTGTGTGTGTGTGTGTGTGTGTGTGTTCCTGTGCTGCATGTCCCTACATTCCCCACTCCTCAATAGGATAGACTGTCTACACTTTGGAACTTTTCCTTAGAGCCCCGGACTCAAAGCAGTATACACATTCGCTGACTGACTGATCTACTAAGAAGCCAGAGCTGGATAGAAACAGTCCAGCCTCGTGGCTTCACAGATGGGGAAACACAGGCAGAGTCATGAGTCCAGCTGCATAGCAGGAGCTTTACCCAGGGCCATCAGCTTTGCAGAAATCCGAGGTTCCTCTCCTTCCATCGTCGCAGCCATTACCGACAAGGGTAGCTTTCCTCTACATGTCTCTGCCAAGTTATCATGAAGAGAGATCTCAACACATATTCCGAGGCCCATACAGATAGATATCCACAATGCAAACCTTTATGAGCAGGTAGCCACCAAACCGGTCCGGTAACTCCAGTAAAATCACCTAAGACCCCACTGCCCCTCCGTTCAGGAAGGGGCTGCTCAAGGAAATCGGGGCATTCTAGAGACAGGATTCAGGTAATGAACAGCTGTACGCACGGAACCGAGGCTCTCTTCAAGGATTTAGCCCAATGTACTGTCTCTATGTGAAAAGGGCTCCTCCATAAAGTCTTTACTCTCTTTGGACAGGAAGGGCGATGCCTAAGATCCTTTCTGAAGTCTATGCCTAGTTTATTTACGTGTGCGTATGCTTCAGAGTGACGTGTTTTCCAAAAACAAAACGAAACAAAGTAGAGGCCTGGATCCATGGCTCAGCACTCAACAGGGCTTCCTGTTCTTGCAGGGGGTTTGAGTTTGGTTCCCAGCACCCCCATCTGTTGGCTCTCCACTGGCTGTAACTCCAGCTCCAAGGAATCCACATCCTCTTCTGCATCCCGTGGTACCCACACACTCGTGTCCTTCACATACACACATAAATAAAATAACAAATCTTTAAAGGGAGAGAAATACCAGGCTTAACCCCTGGCCAGCCCACCTCCTGAACATTTCCCTCCTCTTCAATCCAGCCCAGGGAACTTGCCTATAGATGCTATTCCTATATTCACCACCAGGGACCCCACTCAGCACTTCCAGAGCTTTTGACCTGCATTTAATTACTGAATGCCACAAACACAGACTGCCTCGTTCTCAGGCTCTGGGATGAGCTAGGCTAGGTCTGGGGACAGGAAAAGAACAGAGTAGGAGTACGGCTGGGACCACTTATTGAGAAAAAAAGACTCATAGCCACCTGTGGTCTAGCTAGAAAGGCCAGGCTGGAGGGGGGTCAGACCCCCACTGACTTGTGAGGTGACTGGGTTTGAGGATGGGCCTAGAAGAGAATTTCCTGGGAGAAGCAGTTCTAGGAACAGGGCTGAGTGGGGGGGATTTCCATGGTCAGTTGGGGGAAGGATGGAGCAGATCTGTGTCTGGAAGACTGCTGCTCCAAGGGACCCCTGAGTTCCACCCTGGACTGCTGACTTTCCAGAATGCAGACCATCATTCTTACACACTCACTTCCATGTTCTTGTTTTGTGTTTTATTCGGACAGGGTCTCACATGTAACCTTGGCTGGCCTGGAACTCACAATGTAAACCAGACTGGCTTCAAGCTCAAGAGATCCGCTTGCCTCTGCCTCCTGTGTGCAGGGATTAAAGGAGCGCGTTAGGGTGCAACTGCAACCGCAACTCACTTGCACTTTTTTGTTTTGTTTTGCTTGCTCCCCCCCCTCCCCAACACACACACACACAGGGTCTCACCGTGCAGTTCTGGCCATCCTGGAATTCACGATGTAGATCAGACCAGCCTCGAACTCACAAATATCCTCCTGCCTCTGCCTCCCAAAGTGCTTCACTTGCACTTTTAACACCGTCGCAGTTAGTCCTTACCTCTTTCTCACAGTATTCATTGGCAACAGTGGAAAGCACGCTTTTTTTTTTTTTTGAGGGTGCTTAGAAACCCAGGCTAAGTTAGGCAAGCGCCCTACCACTGAACTACAGCGCCAGCCCCTGAAAGCCTGCTGTCTTATATGGAACTGGGAAAGCTCATCCATCCTCCCGCGCCTCTCCAGGCCATTAGCTCCCAGGCTGGATTCCGGAGCGCGGGTGTCTCAGCCCCGGAGCGCTCTCGCTCCTACGAGTCTCGCCCCCTCCCCTCTCCGGGTCTGTGCTGTGTCTGGAGCTGAAGACACGCCCCCCGACACGCCCCCTCGCTTCCATTGGCCGCCGGCATTGTCCGCTCCCTGGCCCGAGCGGTGATTGCCGCTCGCCTGTGTCAGTCCCCGGAGAGCGCGCCGGTGGCGGGGCAGGCCGCGGGACAGCCGCAGGTGGGGCCTGGAGCGGTGGCCGGACCTGGGCAGCCCCGCAGCCCCGCGCGGGAGCCACGATGCCCCGCGGGGACTCGGAGCAGGTGCGCTACTGCGCGCGCTTCTCCTACCTTTGGCTCAAGTTCTCTCTCATCGTCTATTCCACCGTATTCTGGGTGAGTGAGTGATCGGGATGGAGTCGGTGGAGCCCGGGTTGGAGGTTGGGGAGCAGCGGGGAGGAGGAGGGTATGGGATGTTCCACACTCCTTTGATGGCCCCCCCACACCGGATCCCGGGGTGGGTCCAGCTTTAGCCCCTCCAGGGAGGCCGCCGGGAGTGCGCAACGGCTCCTCTGCCCACTTCCCTGGGAAGCGGGATGTTGTGGCGGCCCCAGCTCAACTCGAATGCAGCCGCCCAGTCCCCAGCTTTAGAGCAGTTGCCCACAGGACGCCACTTTGTCCACCTGTGCTACTGCTTACCTATGACCACCTACCTGATGGGGTCTGCTTCGTCAGCCGTGCCTTGTGCATCCTCTGGTGGTTCTGTAGGCGGTGGGTACGATGTTGGCCGCGCCCACCGCGCTTGGAGGGTGTGACTCCCCATCACCATAGCGAGAGGTGGTCAGCTTTTGTGCTTTGTAGCCACCTGGATTCCAAGTCTGTTACTTGCCTGAACCTCCCCTCCAGCTTCCCTTGGGCGTCTTGCTTTCCTCCTTAATGGGAGGAGGATGCACCTGCCTTCTTGGTGGAGGGGAGCGTTCCACTGTGCGGCTCCTAGGTCACTGTTTTCATGAGTTCTGGCACTGCTCGCGGAAGATCAGGATTGCTGTGGTTGTGCACAACCAGGCTTTGAACACTGCCCGCCACGTTCTAGCTGAGTGATCTGGAGAAGTTCCTTCATTTTTCTGACCATAGTTTTCTCATCTGTAATCGGAGACAGTAATTATTAAACCTTTGGATGGTTGTGGAAATAAAATGAAAGTAGTCCAAGATGAGATCACAGAGGGCTCAAAAATGGGAGATAATAATATTATTTATTATTGTTGTTTTGAGACAGGATCTCTCTATGTACCTGCCTCTGTCACTCAAGTGTTGGCATTAAAGTCATGTGCAACCACACCTAACTATTATTACTATTGTTGTTGTTGTGTGTCTCACTGTAGCTCAGTCCAGCTGGTGGTGTGTGTGTGTGTGTGTGTGTGTTTGCTCATTTTTTTTTTTTTTTTTTTTTTTGGTTTTTCGAGACAGGGTTTCTCTGTGTAGCTTTGCACCTTTCCTGGGACTCACTTGGTAGCCCAGGCTGGCCTCGAACTCACAGAGATCCGCCTGCCTCTGCCTCCCGAGTGCTGGGATTAAAGGCGTGCACCACCGCCCAGCTCATTTTTTTTTTTTTTTGAGACAGGGTCTTATGCATTTCTGGCTGGCCTAGAACTCACTATATAGTCCAGGCTAATCTTTAACTCATAGTAATCCTCCTGCCTTAACCTCCCAAGTACTGGAATTACAGTTCTAAGACACCATGTCTGGCACCATCAATGTTATTATGGGCAAAGACTCTAGATATGGATGGTGTAAGCTACCCCAAGGGACTTTCTTTTTCTTTTAGATAGGGTCTTATGTTGTCTAGGCTGGTCCCCAAATCATTGTGTAGCTGACAGTGACCTTGAATTCCTGATCCTCCTGTTTCTACCTTTCACACACCGGGCCCTGGGATCACAGGGGTGTGCCACCACCCCTGGCTTACCAAGGCATTTTGGAATAACTGGATCTCAGTCTAGGCGTGAGGATATCTTTCCACAAGCTGGCTCTATCCTCACCTCTACGGAATAGGCCCCTGCCTCCAGTGTGTACTTAGACAGGCTTGTCCAGAGATCCCAAAGTGTCCCCTGAAAATAATTCCCTCCCTCTTTCTCTCTCTTTGTCTTTCTCCTCCTCCTCTTCCTCAGCTCCCCCTTGCATCTCTTCTGGTAGCAGGAGCTGCTGGGCTGGCCATCAAGGCTGACTTTGAATGGGACCCCTCTGTGAGGCAACCCTGCTGCAGCCAGCAGATCTTGATTCCAGTCCTGCTACGTCTCAGACTCACTGGCATATCGTAGGCAAATGATATCTCTGTTTCGGGTCTCAGCACTGTTCGTTCTAGTCTTTGGCTAGCTTCCAGCCCTGTTCTCTGACTCCAGGTACCCCGAAAGAAAGATAAGCAGGAGAGCTAGGGCCCCAAGGGTGGAGGGTGGAGGGGAGATGTGGGGGTATAAGTTGCAGGGAGGTTGAAGGCGGGGGTGGATGATTTGAGCTGTAATTCAGAGATTCTCACCCAAAGTCGCAGCAGAATGAACTGGGACGTTTCCAGCACGACAGATGCCCGTGCCTTGGTACAAGTACTTATTAAACTTGTACCTCAGCTTTTCACACCGATGCAGTGGGCAGTCAGGGCTGAAGAGAGCCAGCACCGGAGACCACAGTGATGCTGCTCAGTCTTGCTTTGCCTGTAAGTCAGATAAAAGGAAAGGCTAAGGTAAAGGGTGGAAAGGTGGGGGTCCCAGTCTTTCTTCTCCTCTTCAGTGTGTAACCACTGGCCGGGCCTCGTCACGTCTTCCTTTTTCCACCCGTAAAATGGAAATGTGTTATAGTCTGCCTCACACCCTACAGCATCCCCTTTTTAGGACTAGTGATGAGAGCGAATGAGGAAAGAGCTATGTGAGCCTCGCAGCGCTCAGGAGGGCTTAAGGCCAGAAGATCCCAAGTTCAAGGCCTGTTGAAGCTACAGAGTGAGTTTAAGGGCAACCTAGTGAGACTCTGTCTCAAAATAAAAAGTGAGAAAAGGGCTGGGGGTGTAGCTCAGTGGTAGAGTATCTGCCTAGCACGTGGGAGGCTCTGTGTTCAATCCGCAGCATTACAGAAAACCTCCCAGAAACCTCACCAAAACTGAAGGTAGACACAGTTCTGTGAAGCCAAGTAAGCGTGCAAGGTCAGAGTCCTTGTCCCTTGCAGCCCCTGTAGACACCCACGTAGGCTCTTGCTTTGCTTTTCTTGAGACTGAGCAGGACTCAGAACTTGGAACTTTCCCTCTCTAGCCAACTGAGCTTGCTGTATTCCCATCCCCGGCAGTATTTCTGCTTAAAAATATCTCCCTACCCAGGCCAAGAGCTCAGCTGCAGGGCAGGGCTGCTGGGGCAGCTCCAGGTGCCAGAATGTGGCTGCAGGGTGGCGGCCACTGCAGGTTAAGTAATCTGTCTGCATTGCGTTTACTGCTAATTGGAAGCCATTTACGGAAAAACCCATTATCTTGATGCCATCTCCTGCCTCACCCCTGGCAAGAGGATGGGTGGGGGCAAGGGTTACTCGCTTAATAAACCGGAAGTGTGAATGCTTGCATTTCTGTCTATAAAGAGCAAGGCAGTGGTGGTGTATGTCCTTAATCCCAGCACTCAGGAGGCAGAAGCAGGTGGATCTCTGTGATTTTGAGGCCAGCCTGGTCTACAGAGTTCCAGGACAGCCAGAGCTGTTACACAGAGAAACCCTGTCTCAAAACAAACAAACAAACAAACAACCCAAACTAAACCAACCAAACAAACAAAAATCCCAAAACAAAAACAAGGTGCCCAGCCCCTAAGTTCTTTTTAAAATAGGATTTATTTATTTTTATTTTGTGAATAAGTGTTTTGTCTATATGGATGTCTGTGCACTACACGTGTGCCTGGTGCCCACAGAGGCCAGAAGAGTAAGTCAGATTCCCCATACTGGAGTTACAGATAGTTGTAAGCTGCCAGATGGGTGCTGGAATCGAATCCAGATCCTCTGGAAGAGCAGCCAGTGCTCTTAACCACTGAACCATCTATCCAGCCCCCGAGCATGAATTCTTAATCTTTCTGCATTTACCTCTGAAACCCTGGGATGCAGGCATGCATCACCATGCCCAGCTGGCAAATGGTTTTCCTTATAAATTATCATGGACAGAAAATGCATGCAATCATGTACAAATTAAAAGTAGAAAGCAGGGGTGTCTAAGGATTTTCATTGCTGTGAAGAGACAACATGACCACAGCAACTCTCATAAGGAAAACATTTCATTGGGGTGGCTTGCTTACAGTTTCAGAGGTTCAGTACGTTATCATCATGATGGGGAGCATGGCAGCGTGCAGGCAGACATGGTGCTGGAGCTGAGAGTGCTACATCATGCAGGCAACAGGAAGTCAACTGACCACTGGGTGGTATCCTGAACATAGGAAACCTCAAAATCCACCCTTACAGTGACAACTTCCTCCAACAAGGCCACACCTACTCCAACAAAGCCACACCTCCTAAAAGTGCCACTCCCTGTGAAATTATTCGGGCCAATGGCATTCAAACTACCACATTCCACTCTCTGGCCTCCATAAGCTTGTAACAATATTATAATGCAAAATGCATTTAGTCCAACTTCAAAAGTCTCCATAGTCTATAACAGTCTCAGAGTTTAAAAGTCCAAAGTTGAAAGTCTCTTCTGAGATTAATGAAATCTCTTTAGTTTTTTGTTTTTGTTTTTTTTTTTTTTTTTTTTTTTTTTGAGGCAGGGTTTCTCTGTGTAGTTTTGGTGCCTGTCCTGGATCTCACTCTGTAGACCAGGCTGGCCTGGAACTCAGACAGAGCCACCTGGCTCTGCCTCCCAAGTGCCGGATTAAAGGCGTGCGCCACCACTGCCCGGCTTCATGCAATCTCTTAACTGTAATCCCCTATAAAATAAAAATCAAAAAGCAAATCACATACTTCCAACACATAACGACACAGGATATACACTATCATTTCAAAACACAGGGAAGAGAGCATAGTGAGGAAATACTGACCAAAGCAAGACTGAAGACCAGCTGGGCAAACTCCAAACTCTGTTCAGCTTTGTTGGCTGCAACACACTTCTTTCTCTTGGGCTGGTTCCACTCCCTGTTAGCAGCTTTCCTCGGCAGGTATCCCATGACTCTGGCATCTCTAACATCTTTGGTTCTCCAAGACAATCCAGGCTTCAACTTCACAGCTTCACACAATGGTCTCTCTACTAGGCCTCCATTCAGGAACACCCCTGACCCATGCCTGGCCTCAGTGGCTTTCTTTAGGTGGGGAGGCAAATTCCACAACCCATTTCTTCTATGCTTAACTCTAAAGTCAGAACCATGTGGTACATGTTCATTAGCTTTCTGACCTTCACTGCCTAAGCTTGGCTGTCCTGAAACTTGCTCTGTAAACCAGCCCAGCCTCAAACTCAGAGATCCACCAGCCTCTGCCTTCCCAGTGCTGGGATTAAAGGCCTCCACACCAGCTCTAAGCATTTCTTTAATTCACAAGTTGGAAAATTAGCTGGGTGGGGGCTTGCCTGGAGGTTACCACTTTCTCTATTCATTTCTTAATCCATTTATCTCCTTGAACACAGAATTGTAGTTGGCATTTTCTTTGGACCATCAACCAGCTCCCAAATAAAGACACGGAGACTTATTATTAATCATGAATGCTTGACCTTAGCTTAGGCTTGTCCCACTAGCTCTTTTAACATAATTTAACCCGTTTCTATTCATCCACATTTTGCCTCGGGGCTTTTTATCTTTCTTTCATGCTGTATGTACTTTCCTGCTTTCTCCCTGTCTGTCTGTCTGGCCCCTGGTGTCTCCCTGGTGTCTCTTTTTCTTTCTTCCTCAAGCCTAAATTCTTCCTTCTATTTCCTCTTCCTGCCTAGAAGTTCTGCCTATACCTCCTTCTTCACTATTGGCTGTTCGGCTTTTTATTAGACCAATCAGGTGCCTTAGGCAGGCAAGGTAAAACAGTAACACATCTTTACATAATTAAACAAGTGTGACACATCTTTGCATCATTAAACAAATATTCAAAACACAGAATTCACAACCAGTACACTTCCTGGTACTCTTTTTCTCCTCAAAAATTTCATTGTGTAGTTTACCCTGCTCAGCTTGCTTCTTTTCATTATACATCTTCATTAGAGTTACTACTAGTAGCCACATGACAGAGTCTATACTAGGCTGTTTTGAGATTTCTCTGCCAACAGAATTAATCCAAAACTCTTCATTTTAGCCTCAGGCAGCCTCTTCAGACAAGGGCACAAGGCAGCCACTTTCTTTACCAAAATATCACAAGAATGATCTCTAGGCTACATACTAAAATTCTTCTCCTCTGAAACCTCTTGAGTGAGCACCCCACACTTCATCAAATCTCACTCAGCACCATTATCTTCCATGCTCCTACTAGCAGGTCCATTAAGCAGCACTTAAAATGTTCAACTGCTTTTCTAAATCACGGTCCCAAAGTTCAAATTGCTACAAACAAAAGCATAGTCAGACCGATCACGGCAACATCCCACTCCTGGTACCAACTTTTGTTTTAGTTAGGGTTTTCATTGCTGTGAAGAGACACCATGACCACAACAACCCTTATAAAGAAAACATTTAATTGGGGTGGCTTGCTTACAGTTTCAGAGGTTCAGTCCATTATCACCATGGTAGGGAGCATGGCAGCATGCAGGCAGATTTGATGCTGGAGCTAAGTGCTATATCTTGCAGGTGACAGGAAGTCAACTGACCACTGGGTAGTTTCCTGAGCCTAGGAAAACTCAGAGTCCATCCCCACAGTGACAGCTTCTTCCAACAAGGCCATACTCACTCCAACAAAGCCACACCTCCTAGAAGTGCCACTTCCTATGAGATTATGGGGGCCGGTTACATTCAGATTACCACAGAGGGTCAGAGGGATGGCTCAGCCTGACATCCTGAGTTTGGTCTCTGGAACTCACTTAAAGGTAGAAGAAGAAAACTGTCTCTACAGAGTTGTTCTCTGAGCTCACATGTGCCTTGTGACCCCTGTACCCACACAAGTAGAAAAGGGTTGGGGTCTTTGTCTCAAAAATAAAAAATGAAGATGATGGCCAGTGGCAAACTGCTCTCCCCTTCCTGCTTTGTCTTCTGCAGAGGGACCTCTGCTACTAGTCTATTTTTTATTTCTGAGGTATCCAAGGCAAAGGATGGCCTGGGCACAAGTGTGCATATACCAAGTATAATATTTATTTATATATGTATATACAGACACACACTCACACTGTATAGAGAACGGTGGGGAGCCCCTCACCTTTTCATTTAATGCTTTAATGCTTTTATTTATTTATTTTTTTGTGGGGGCAAGCCCTCAGATATCTCAGGCTGGCATGGCATTCTCTAAGTACCCGAGGATGTCTTTGAACTTCCAATCCTCCTGGATGCTAGAATTACAGGTGCCCACCACCACACCCAGTTTATATGATGCTAACAATTGAACCCAGGGCTTTGTGCATGCTAGGCAAACATGACCGACCAAACCAAATCACCAGGACTTTGCTCAAAGTAAAACCTTTGTACATTTTAGATAACTGCCGGGGTCTGCCTCTGTCTTTTAATTATTTTTTATTATGTTTTATTATGTGTTTATGATATGTGGGTACATGCATGTGTTGTAGGTACCACATCTTGCATTTTGGAGGTCAGAGGACAATTTTATGGAGCTGGTAATCTCCTTTTACCTTTTCTGGGGCTCCATCTCAGGTTGTTGAGGTTGCAAGGCAAAAGCTTTTACCCACTGAACCATCTCATGAGCCCCAAGGGGATGCATCTTTCTATTTGATGGTCTTATAGACTCCACTCTAGGCTGTGCCAAAGTTTATTTAATCTGGCTATGGCTGGGGATTTCTGTGGTTGTTTCCAATCCGTTGTTGCTGTGGGTAATACAGGAGCAACTGTATTTAAGTTTGCATATGTGTGTACATGGTAATTTTTGTATCTGTTTTTAAGTTTGCTTATGTGTGTATACGGGGTAATTTTCAGAAGAATTGCTGGGGTGAAGGGCGTGTGGATGTGTCACTCAATACAGAAATATCTACACCTGCGTGGTTCCATGTGTTTTAGAAAAGCTAGCTGTGTGCCTGTAGCTGATCCTTAGCCAGTAAGAAAGGCCAAAGCCAGAAGTCCCCTCCTGCTCGCTTCAGTCACCACGACTTAATACTGCTGCAGTCATTTCTGGAACTTAGAGCCTTGGAGGGTAGCAATGCTAATTTGGCTTGGCATTGGCAGATTTCCTTCTCCCTCTTGGCCCCGCCCCCCTCCTTACACTCCACCATTGAACTATACCTGCAGCCCTTAAGTTCTGATGTTATTAAATTGCCCTGTATAGAAATAATGTTAATTATAATATTATTCACTCATGTTTCTTTTCTCTTTTTATTTTCTCCAGTTAGGGCTGTATTCTGTAGCCCAGACTACCCTTAAACTCATGGCGATCTTTGGGCCTCTCAGCCTCCTGAGTGCTGGCATTGTAGACATGTATCACCAGGCCTCGCTTCACATACTTCTTTAAACTGATTTATTTTCCAAACGTTAATTAATTAATTAGTTACCTTTTAGACAGGGTCTCACTATGAAGTCCTTGATGGCCTGGCTAAAGACAACGTTGGCCTCGAACTCACAGATCCTCCTGCCTCTGCCTCTTCCCTCCTCCCGCTGCCTCCTCCCTCCTCCCAAGTGCCAGGATTAGAGACGTGTGCCACGGCACTCAGTCCAATTTTATTTATTTCTTGAGACAGAGTCATATGTAGTAGTCCAGACCAGTCTTGATGTGACCCAACTGACCCTGAGGTTGCTCTGAATCTTAAACTCCAGATCCTCCTGCCTCTGCCTCCAGAGTGCTGGGGTCACAGGCATCCACCACCTCACCAGCTTTGGATTTGTTTTAAAAGAAGATGTTAGATGACTACTACCTGTGGGAAACCAGCACCCCATCACAGACAGCAGACAGCAATAAACGAACATAGTTTAGGGTAACGGCGAACAAGGTTATAGAGCACATCCTGGCTTGATGTGGTAGCTGTTGAGGTCCATGACCCCCGTGTTCACTGTGTGATCAAAGGCAGGTTCAAAAGTGCCCGAAGCCTGAGGGCACATATGTTACACCTAAGACTCTGAGCCGCCTATACTGATGCCCCTGGCCCACACCAAGGGGGCTTCTTGAAAGGATGTGTTCAAGATCACCCCCTCGGAGCTGGCCTAAGCCCCGCAGGTTTCTCCTCAGCCCGTGTTCCCTCCTTCTCGCCATATCCCCAAGTTGTCACTGTGAATCTCGCCCAGAGGCACCCAGAGCCTCCTCTTCCCGTATGCAGGGTGAATTATTGTCGCACATGTGCCCTGAGACCACAGGGCCTCACCTCTCATTTTAGCATTGCCCAGAATGTCCTGGAGATCTGTTTACACACTGCCTTTTCTTACTGGGCTTTGGGCTCCAAGAGGTCAGGGGTGTGGCTCTGCATACCAGGTTAGGGCTGAGCATGCAAGAGGAGAAGGAGAGCCTCGCGTGTGAGGGGGATGGAGTTTCACCTGTACCTACAAGGCCTTGATGTTGGCCAGCTTTCGAGGCTTTGAACTT